AAGCTGATGAATGCATTATAGAAGACATGGTGAGTTTTGCTACTACCCACTACAAACAACTGAACAGAAACAGACACAAAGCTGCCCTGTTTGACAGCTTATGCCCAAAGTGCTACACTGAGAGACATACCAACCTCTTGCTTGTACCACAGGGATAAAGTACAAAATCTAAAGTACAGCTTCAGTTAAATCTATCCTGCCCTTTGAGCCTTTAAGCATTCTTCCATTCATCTAAAGTTTAACTCCATAACCTCTGTTCTAGTTGTTTGTTTTTCTTTCAGATTGTGGTAAGAACCACTAGCATGATACTACTCAGAATTTTAAGTGAACGATACAGTATTTTGAACTATAAGCATGATGTGGTAGGACAGATCTCTAGAACTCATTCATCTTGCATTACTTGTTGAAATTCTTATCATTTTTCACAGTCACTTCTTGCTTTCTCAAAGCTTCCACTTAAAGTAGTCAGCTTATTTTTTAACACTTTTCTTTCTTGGTTCCATAGTGCTTGGCATTTTTTAGCATCAGTAACATTCAGCCTTGTGTTATTTCATGTATAGGCAGAGTAAGAGGCAGCAGAGCAAAACACACAGGGCCCAGGAAACTTGGCACCTTGTGCTCACCACTTTTTCTTTGAATGAGGATAATTTAATCTCTGATATCCTTGGGGTCCTTCCCTATGAAATACAGTTAGTAGTATCATATAGGCCCTTCTGAAGAATTAGCAGTTCCAGAAAAATTAAACAAATGGAAAACCTCCTGTGAAAGACTGAAATTATTTAATTTTTTAAGGACAAAGAATTATGATTCATTTTTCAAAAGCAAATCTAGGTGGACACATTTAATACTAAAATCATATCCTTTGGTTCATTGAGGCTGCTGTCAGATTCTGGGTTTTCTATTATGGTTGAAATCTTCAATGGCCCCCAAAGGCCATGTACTAAATAACCTTGGTTATTCAATAGCCGGCAGCACTATTGGGAGATGGTTGAAACTTTAGGATGTGGGGCCTTGTTGGTAGGAGTGGATCCTTGAGGGTGTGCCCTTGAAGAGTATATTTTGTCCCTGGATCCTTGTTTTGTTCCTCTGTTTTTCTGCTTCCTGACTGCCATGAGGTAAGCAGCTTTACTCTGCATGTGTTCCTGTTGCCATGATGTTTGCCCAGGGCAATGGAGCCAGGCGTGGACTGATTCACTTTGAAACCATGAGCCAAAACAAGTCTTTCCTTTTTTAAATTGACTTTCTTGGGTATTTTGTTTCAGTGATGAAAAGCTGACTATTACTAACCTTCCAAAAACAAAAGGATATATAATTTAATCATATAAAGAAAAGTGGAATATGGAATAGCAAGAAATCTCTAGAGCAATAATCTATTGCAAATTTACTTCTCTAATTGGCTTTTTACCCTTGTAGTAGTAGTCTTGTTAATTATTAAAGGCTTTGTACGTATCTGGTACCTTTATAAAAATACAGCAGTTATGAAGGATTCATCAATTCCCAACTTCAGCTAATCACTAGAATCACCTTGTAGAGAAGCCTTATAAAGTATAATTTTCAGAGCCTGCTATTTGTTTTTGACTCAGCAGGTCTGGGGTCATGCTGTGGCTTGAATGTTTATCCCCTCTAAAACTCATGTTAAAGTTTAATTGCTACTATAACAGTATTAGGGAGTGGAAACTCTCTGAGATGATAGCTGTAGGAGGACTCCACCTTCATGAGTGGGGTTGATGCCACTATAAAAGTGTAAGTATGGACCCCTTTTGCCTTTGCCATTTGGCATGAGGTGAATCCTTCTCTGGAAGGCATTCAAGACACCATCTTAGAATCACAGCCAGCACCTTGCTATTGAACTTCTCAGCTTTCAGGACCATAAGCCAATGCATTTCTTCATTACAGATTACTCAGTCTGTGATATTCTGTAACAGTAGCGCAAATGGACTAAACCAGGTTACCAGGTGATACTGAAAGTGTGATAGTCTCTCACCTAGAGGAGGGAAAAGGATGGACTAGTGAGGTTGAGGACAAAGGGAGGAGATGTAACAGACTCCCAGATTGTAAAATTAACAGGTGTTAGATTGTTTTAGTCATTTTTGGAGTCTTATAACAAAGTTACATAGACAGGGTGACTAGTAAGTGAAAAATTTTCTCCCAGTTCTGGGGGCTGGAGATTAGAGATCAGGGTGACAGGATGGCTGGGTTCTGGTGAAGGCCCCCACAGTATCCTCACACAAGGTGGAAAGACAGCAAACTTTTTGTAAGTGCATCACACTCGTTCATAAGATCTCTACCATCACAACCTAATTACTTCCCAAAGTCCCCACTTCCACATACCATCAGGCTGGGATCAGACTTCAACATAACCATGATTGATAGGTATCAACTGGAATGTGTGTGGGTAAGTGGACCATTTATAAGCCACAGAATAAAAGCAGAGTCTTAGACCTTCAAGGGCAAGGAAAGATGAGATAATTCATGAGAAGTGATTGCTAGTCAGGTATGTATGTGTGGCTTGCAGGCAGAGCTCTAGAATTAAGGCCTAAGAAGAAGCTGAGAAAACAGTGATGTTTAGGTATGACTGACAAGACTCCTTAAAGGAGACTGAAGAGAGGCGAGAGACATAGGAAGGAAACGAGTAATTCAATATTAATTCACTGTTCAATGGGGAAGGCTTGGGTTTGCTACCATGTGAAAAACCTGAATTCCAAGCTCATGAATGAATTTTATACCATCAGATCAGGAAATAAAAGGCAAAACAACAAAATCAATAGGTATGTTTACTAAATCTTTCTATGATCTTTGCAATTAAAAAACAAACAAGCATTGTCCAGGTTTACACACTTAATAATGACCAACATGTTCTCATTTTACTATTGTGAACTCTACAATACCACTGGCACATCCTTTTAAAAAGATTTCTATGAGCTCTCTTTTATCCTCATTGGATAAAATTACAATTCAGTCTAGAGTCCAGATCCAAGGAAAAACTACCAGCAAGATCAGTTTTTAAAAATGCACAAAGATTATGCCTTAGCAGAATGAGATTGTCTCAGTACAGATACATAGTTTATGTGTCAGTTTAGACCATTATTTGCCTCTATGCCAGATTTGAAACACGTTAGGAAAGCAACAGACAACTGCTTCATCAACCTGAACCTTTCCATTTGGCTCTCACAGTTAACATATAAAATGTGTTTGTGTCTTGTACTGTCATTCTAGTTCTCAGCAAGCTCTGGCCTCCAGTAGAAGGCTTTCCAAGCTGAGACCTCTTCCGCAAATTTCTCAGGTGTGGTTTTCCTGCATAAATATACTGGCATATTCTAGTAATCAGTTGTTCATTGTGCCTAAGAGCTCATATTGGCCCACTGAAATTATATTTTAACTTTACTTATCATCTTTTGAGACATAATTAAAAGTCTAAGTACTAAAGTGTGTTTATTACACATTTAGCTGAAACAAAGTCAACTGACTTTCTGTATTTGAAAGAGATCCTCCACAAAGTGCAACAGACATCAGAGGGGCAAACTTAAAGGGGAATTTTTTTTCTATTTAAAAGTAATTTGGGTGCCAGGGATTTAGCTCAGTGGTTCTTCTGCCTGCCTCACAAGCACAAAGACCTGAGTTCGATCCCCAGTGCAAAAAAAAAAAAAAATTCTAAAAATAATTTTTCTATGGCAAAGCTGAAGCATTTTTTTCTTGTTTTCTCTTATAAATCTATGGCATATCTTTTCATCATCTGTGTTGATTCCAATCTAGATTATACCTACTATTCACCAATTACGTCATTTTAGCATTTTATCTGACCATTATTCTCTCTTCACCTCAAATGTCGGTTTAAAGTTCTATGGGGTAGGCAAGAGGTGTACTACTGCATTCCTTTCTGTTCTTGGGAAAGGAACTCTATATCTTGTAGGGAGCCTGTAGTATTAATAGTGTAAGTTCTAGTTAAGAAGGCATCATTTGGCTCTTCTGTTCTTCATTTGGTAGGATGATACTTGATTTCCATTACCTTTTTTCTCCCCCCCGCCACTGTTATAGCCTCAACTGAAAGAAGAGATTAAAAAACTCTTCTAATGCACAAACCAAGCGCCTCTTGTTTTGTCATTCACTGCAATAGGAATCAGCAGGAGTAGTGTGGTCTATAAATCTGCAAGTCTCAGAAAGCTCTTGGGGGCACCTTTTATATCAGCTCCATCACAGTTTACCTTTCATAAATGAGAGAGAAATAAAATGCCTACCTCTTTTTCCCACTTCTGAGGATTTGGTTTGGGTATTTATCCTGTGACTTTGTACTCTTTAGAAAATGACATGCATTTACTTAATGTTTAAAGGATATACTACAAATTATCAGTAAATATACTTAGATAGTAAAGAGACATAGATAGTATTGTCAGGGGCTCCTTTATAGATCATTTAAAATACTGCCTTTACTTATTATAGTCACCAAGAACAAACACATAGGACTTAAAACCTGAGGTTGCCTGGAAAGTGTGCCAGACACAAGAGACACATAAAGAATAATGTTGCCCTCAGAAATGTGCAATGTGGGTAGGAAGCTAGCTCTCTTGAATACAGTCAGATGCACATACCCTGCTGTAAAATTAGGGTTTTATAAACAGGGCAATGTACTTGAATGACCAGAGTACTGAGTGCACACACACATTTGTGGGACTGTTTGTAGAAACATGCAAAAATGACATCACTATTATTATTCTTAATCTCAAAATATATACTAACTCAATGAACACTGGATAGACTATATTTCAAAAGAACTCAGCATACCTAAAAATAATTGTCCAAAGTTATATCCACATGTGATTTTTTTGTTTGTTTGTTTGTTTTTTTGGTTCCAGGGATCGAACTCAGGTCCATGCACTTGCAAGGCAGGCAATGGAACCACTGAGCTAAATCCTTGGCCCCATATGTGATTTTAATAATAATTTAAATAAAATCTTCCACCAAAATCATATCAATACTGAAAACTAAAAATCAAAGTTACTTACTTTTACTATGATAAGCCTGGCCTGTTTCTCATATCTCTGTTTATCATTTTCTGTGTATTCTACTTCAAAGAGGGTATTGTAATTTTCTAGAATTTTAGCCATTATCTTGTTGCAAAGGTCCTGTTCTTTCACGCCTTCATGACCACTTGGCACACTAGAAATAAAAAAAAAAATGAGATGAATTACTTAGTAAAAATAACAGTGTCAGTAACACTGGTCTCAGACTTATTTTTACAATTCCTTCATGATGTGCCTTGTAAGGAGATATGGGATTTTCAACAAGCTCTTTGTTAAGATGCATGATGTTTTTGGGACAAGCACAGAGTTTGCAAGTCCTGATTCCATAGTTTGTGCTGATTGAAGAGTCAGGCTCTTTGAGGAGATGATACAAAGTGGCACTAATGCTGCTGGTCTTCTGATGACATTTAACTTGTTATATATAACATGAATACAATAGCAAAAGTGAAAAGGAATCATCATTATCATGACAAAAATATTCAGCCACAGAAATAACTGGAACACAATATTTAAGAATTTTTATGATAATGCATAAAAATACAAACCTAAAAGGGGAAAATGAATTCTTCTACTGGGGAAAAGAAGCCACAAAATGGGCACATGGAAGATCTATTTTACTCTCATCTGTTGGGTTAATTTAAAATATCCCATAAGGCTGCCATCTCTCCAGCACCAGGAGGGCCTGCTTGGGCCCAGTCCACAGGACGGATAGCTACACCCTCCCCTGCTGGGCTGCCACCATTGCTCCAGCACCAGGAAGGTAGTGTGATCCCCCCAACCCTTCCCATGCTCTCAGACTTCCTGATTGTGCCAGTCTTTGGACCCACTCTGTGGAGGCAGAGGTGGTCATGAAGAGTATTTTTCTGAGCTCCCAACTTTGAACATCTTTAAAGAAAGGGCGGGGGAAACCTGTAGTAGAACTTTGTGCAGTTCAACCCTTCAGGTGGTCGGGAAACTCAACCTGTGCATTGCAACCCAAGGTCAATCTGCATGGTGGGGTTCTGCCATCAGTTAGCTGAGATCAGGGTTGTTGGTTCTGCACATAGCTGCACATGTTGTATATTATGACAGCAGAGATATAGTCTGAAAGAGGCCCCCTTCAAATTCATTTTTTTTTCTTTCTTTTCCTCATTTCACTCTGCAAATTCTTTCTTTTTTCTGTCCTCTTTCTCCAACTCAGTCTCTTGTTCCACCATATTATCCCTCATCTCCCTTTCTGTTTCTGCTCCTGCCCTAACTCAGATTACTTCTTTTATCATTTTTGCTATATTCTTTATGTTTTCTTCTGTCATTCTACCTCACACAGGGGTCAGTGGTTTCAAGGGAAAGTGAGCCCCTATTACTGTTAAGGGAATACATGCTTTTCCTTATACTTCTACTCTGTCCATCCCTTTTGAATTTAACAGTTTCCTGAAGATTGTGTGCTCATTCTATGTCCTCTGGCTTCATGTGAAACCCTCTCCAATTCTTTTACTTATCTACTCTTCTCATCCTAGCTCTGTCTGAGCCGCCATCCTAAATGGTAAATATGCTATGTTGAAAAGTCTGTTGACTGCAGACATGTTTTGGACTGCTTCTTGATTATAATTTAATTCACATGGTTTAAAGGTGATAGATTAATGACTAGCACAAGTGGTCAATTTGCAAGTTGTGCTTGATCATATTGTGTTGCTGATTGTATCAGTTGGGATAAAGGATTGTGGTTGATTTGATGAGCTGTTTTCTCTGATGTTATGAAGATGAGAATGTCTATGGGTCATTAGGGACTCAAAAGCTAAAGTACAACTATATCAGGAAGATTTGGGTGATAACCCAGAGATTACACTAAGGACATCCCAACAACAAAAATATAAATGAGAAAATACTTAAGCAAGACACAAAGACAGATTTCCAGTTCACCAATGGCAAACAGTAGGATAAATGAGGATGAAAAGGCTGATATTGAACCACCAGGACACCCTGAACTCAAATCAGAGGAAGTAACAAAACAGATCAATCAGGCTCTAGAAAAATTCAAAACAGGAATAATTTCCCAGATAACCATCGAGATGGTGAGCAAAATGAAAAGTCATGATTTGAGACCCTAGAACAGAAACTGACAAAAAAATAGATGAGCTCAGGACCATGATAGAAGCCATGAAGGTCCAGCATAAGAAAGAAATGGAAACAATAAGTGCCCAACATAGGAAAGAAATGCAATCCATAAAACAGATTCAAACAGATATCCAGGAGATTAAAAACTCCACTGAAAGTGTTTGGAATAGACTAAAAGAAAGCGAAGATAGAATCTCAGATATAGAAGATAAGACTGCAATTAGTGACGGTGAAAAGAGAGGTCTCTTAATAACAGTAGGGGAACATGAGAAATCGATCCAACAACTCCTAGAGGATACAAAGAAGAATAACATAAGACTGATAGGAATCCATGAAGTAGCAGGAGAAAATACAAATGACTTAAAATAGCTGTTCAGAGAATTAATGACAGAAAACTTTCCAAACAGAAGGGAGGAATTTGACATTCAGATAAGTGAGGCATATAGGACTCCAACTAGCCATGATAAAAAATAATCTACACCTAGACATATAATAATCAAGATCCCAGAAACCCAAAAGAAGAAAAAAATACTACAAGTAGTAAGAGAAAAGAAACAAATCTCATGCAAAGGAAAGCCCATCAGAATCACAGAAGACTTTTCAACACAAACCCTTGGGGCAAGGAGAGCCTGGAGTGAGGTATTCCAAGTCCTAAAAGAAAACAACCTCCAACCTATACTGATGTATCCTGCAAAACTCTCTTTCAAAATGGATGGGGAAATAAGATACTTCCATGACAAAGAACACCTGAGAAACTTCATGAATATGAAACCAGTGCTACAAGGAATTCTAAACAATATCCTAGAAAAGGACAATGAAGGTCACAACACTATGAGGCCCAACAGAACAAATCAAATAGGCAAGGCAAGAAACTAAAAGGAGAAGGGGAAAAAGTAAAAAGACTCAATAACAAAAGGCCAATAACACGACAACAATAAATCAGTACATATCAGTTATAACCATCAATGTCAATGGCCTCAACTCACCAATCAGGAGAAATAGATTGGCAGAACACATTAAGAAGCAAAATCCAACAATATGTTGTATACAAGAAACACACTTAGTGCAAAAAGAAGCCCATACACTGAAAATAAAAGGATGGAAAACAATTCTCCATGCGACAGGAGCTCAGAAAAAAGCAGGGGTAGCAATGTTATTCACAGACAATACAAATTTCAAACCAAAACTGATGAAAAGAGACAAAGAAGGCCACTACATCCTTGTAAAGGGAACAATTCAAGAGGAAGAGATGACAATCATAAACATATATGCTCCAAATATGAATGCTCCCAATTATATAAAACAAATATTAAGAAACATGAAAAACCAAATAAGCACTAATACAATCATAGTGGGGGAATCTAAATACCCCACTTTCACAAATACACAGATTATCTAGGCAAAAAATCAACAACGAGGGCCAGGGATTTAGCTCAGTGGTTCGGTGGCCTGTCTCACAAGCGCAAGGACCTGAGTTCAATCCTGGTACCACAAAAAAGGAAAATAAAAAAAAATCAACAATGAAATACGAGAACTCACCTAAGATTTTGAAAGCATGGACTTAATAGACGTCTATAGAGTGTTCAACCCCACAAAATTAGAATATACATTCTCTTCAGTTGCACATGAGTCATTCTCCAAGATAGATCACATACTAGTTCACAGAACAGGTTTGAATAAATGCAAAAGAATTGAAGTTATTTCTTGTATATTATCCGAACATAGTGCAATAAAGCTGGAGATCAATAGCACAAGAAACCATAGGAATTTCACAAACACATGGAAATTGAACAACACTCTCCTGAACAATCAGTGGATCACAGAGGAAATTAAAGAAGAAATCAGACACTTTTTACAAATAAATGAAAATGCCAATACAACATACAGGAATCTACGGGACACAATGAAAGCAGTTCTTTATGGAAAATTCATAGCACTGAATGCCCCCATTAGGAAAACAGAGCTACCTCAAATAAACAACCTAATGATGAATCTTAGACTCCTAGAAAAACAACAGCAAGAAAAACCCAAAGCTCAAACAAGAGAGGAAATTATAAAGATATGAGCAGAAATCAAGGCAATGGAAACTAAGAAAATGATACAAAAAAATAAATGAATAGGAGTGTTGGTTTTTTGAAAGAATAATAAAATTAATAAACCCTTACCTAACCTTATCAAAAAAAGGAAAGAAAAGGTTCAGATCCATCCAATTAGGAATGAAAAAGGTGAAGTCACAACAGATCCAAAAGAAATCCAGAGAATAATCAATACTTACTTTGAGAACCTGTACTCTAATAAAATGGAAAACGCAGAAGAAATGGACAGATTTCTAGATACTTATGAATTACCAAAGTTGAAAAAGGAGATAAAAACATTTTAAACACTCGAATTACAATCAGTGAAACTGAAAATGTAATTAAAAATTTACCAACAAAGAAAAGCCCAGATCCTGATGGATTCACTGCTGAATTTTACAAGACATTTAGAGAAGAAATACTGCCTTTATTCTTCAGACTTTTCATTGAAATTGAAAGGGAAGATATGCTTCCCAATTCATTCCTGGAAGCAAGTATCAATTGGATTCTCAAACAAGGGAAAGATGCAATTAAAAAGAGAACTACAGGCCAATCTCCTTAATGAATACAGATGCAAAAATCCTTAATAAGTTACTAGCAAACAGAATTCAGAGGATTATCAAGAAGATTATACATACTGACCAAGTCAGATTTATTCCAGGGATGCAAGGATGGTTCAACATATGTAAGTCAATAAATGTAATACACTATATTAATAGAGTCAAGGACAAAATCCATATGATCCTCTTGATAGTTGCAGAAAAAGCATTTGACAAAATTCAACACCCATTCATGATAAAAACCCTGAAAAAAATTGGAATAGATGGTCTATATCTCAACTTAATAAAGACTATCTATGAAAAACCAATAGCCAACATCATATTAAATGGCCAAAAACTGAAAACCTTCACTTTAAAATCAGGAACAAGACAAGGATGTCCACTAACACCACTCCTCTTTGATATAG